TACTTTAGATAAGGTGTCTTGGTAGGTGGTAAGGGGGACTCTGGTAACTTTCCTTTCCTGTGGTTCTAGCTAACACACACGCTGGTACACACAGTTATCTCACTGATCTCAGCTACTTTCTCTGTGGGGTCACACCTATGCTCCTGGCTCGTGTGTGATTCCCCTTCCTGAACAGGGGCTCTATCTATGGTTTGCAGTTGAGCAGAATCCCGACAGGACAGCTGTCACTTTAGAGATGCAGGGTGAAAAGGAATGTGGCTCAGGCCTTGCTTGGGTTCCACAGTAGTCTAGGGCAGTGGACCCTTTTAAAGATGGGATTCTGACCTTTCCCCAAGAGGTCTGATTTTTGCTGTAGGCTTTCTGTACACACTAATTAGGGTTTCCAGTACAGTCAACAGAAACCGACTCCCATCACACTCACAACATCCCCACAGCAGCAGAGCAGTGTCCGGTGACAGAGAATCAATGCACAGCCTGACAGAATATCAGAGTGGACCTGAGTCAGTAGAGGCCACAACTAAGCCCAGAGAACAAGGAACATTCCAGAACAGCCTAGGAAAAACACTAGAAGGTGCTTCTGCCCCTGCAGTCAGAGATAGCCCTAGACCCAACTGTTACCTTGTGTAGCCCACCAGCTCAAACTCAGAGTTTGCATCAGTTTGATGAGACTCAGGTCACTGGTTGACCAGAAGCCTGACAAGTCCTTGATCTTGGGCTATTCAGCATTTACAAATATGAGAAACGCATATCTGTTCTTTTTAAATGTCCCAGCCTTGGGTATTTTGGTATAGCAACACAAGAGGACTAAGACACATCTCCTAGAAACCCTTGCCCCTAGATAAACCAGGTGACAGAGTTGAGATTACTATCCTTGGAGAGAAGAGAGGGCGGTTCATCTGATCAGTTTGAGTTTCTGGCTTATGGGAACATGTTTTTTTTTTTTTTCTATTGCCATTTTCTTGATTTCCAGGTTCTCATTCGCTGTCCTGTTTTTTATATATATATATTACTATTATTCTCTTTATGTTGTTTCTTCTGTTCCTGTCTCTTAAAGTATTAACTCCTTTCTATTTTCCCGAGTTTTTAATGTTTTATTTATTATTATTGTGTGTGTTTGATGCATGAGAGTGTGAGGACAGGTGTGCCACAGCACACATTTGGAAGTCAGAGGACAACTTCTGTTACTCACTTCCCCCCGCCTCTCCATTGTTAGGTCCCAGGAATCAAACTCAAGGGTCAGGCTCATGTACCAAGCGCCCTTACCCACTAGGCCAGCCCTAATTCTCATTACTAAGCATGTCCTCTACTCCCACTGTCCAGAGCCTCCATCACTGTGATGAACACCATGACCAAAAGCAACCTGGGAAGGGTTTGTTTCAGCCTTCAACTCTCAGGTCGCACTCCATCACTGGAGGACGTCAAGGCAGGGAACTGGGGACAGGAACTGAAGCAGAGGCTGCAGAGCAGTGCTGCTTACTGGCTTGCTCCTCACGGTGTGCTCAGTTTGCTTTCTTACACGACTCAGGATCACCTTCCAGGGTTGGTGCTGCCCACATTGAGCTGAACCCTCCCATGACAATCATTAATAAAGAAAAGACCACAAAGATTTTTCCCACAGGCAAATCTGATGAAGTTAATTTCTCAGTTCCTTCAAGATGACCTAACTTGTGCCAGGTTGACAAAAAACTCAGAGGCGCAATTGACCCCTTGTCAACACACAAATACATCCCTCTTAAACGATAGCCTTTCTTTTTGATTTATCCCCAAGGTCTCTTGTATATGACACAATATAAAACAAGTGTATGTTTAAAACTCTCATAGGCTTTAAATTTTTCAACAGTGTTAAAGTCCAATCTCTTAAAAAACAAAGTCTTTTTAAATGTCCAAAATATCTCAACTACAGACTTCTATAAAAATCAAAAGTAAATTAAAAGCTAGAGAAATATCTCAGTGGTTAAAACACTAGCTGCTCTTGCAGAGGACCCAAGTTCAATTCTCAGCACCCATATGGCAGTTCATAGCTGTTTGTGACTCCTGTTCTAAGGATTCTAGGCTTTCCCAGCCTCTGTAGGCAGTGCACACATGATGTGGGAGTGTCATATATCAATCTGTTGATTTCATTGGTTAATCAATAAAGAAACTGCTTGCCCTGATAGGTTAGAACATAGGTGGGTGGAGTAAACAGAACAGAATTCTGGGAGGAAGAGAAAGTGAGCTCATACGCCTTAGCTCTGCTCTCTGGGGCAGACGTGATGAAGCTCCTACCCATGATGGACGTAGGCTAGAATCTTCCTGGTAAGCACACCTTGGGGTGCTATACACATTATTAGAAATGGGCTAGTCCAGGTGCGAGAGTTAGCCGAGAAGAGGCTAGATATAATGGGCCAAGCAGTGTTTAAAAGAATACAGTTTGTGTGTTGTTATTTCGGGGCATAAGCTAGCCAGACGACCAGGAGCAGCGGCAGCAGGAACAGAGCCCGCAGCTCCTACTACACACACATGTGGTACACATATATGTATGCTGGAAAACATAAAATAAATCTCTAAGAAGCATATAAGGGAGTCAGAGAAATATCTCAGTGCTTAAGAGAACTTCCTGCTCTTCTAGAGGACCTGAGTTCAGTTCCCAGAATCCATAAAACATGGCTTTATCACTTCCTATAACTCCAGCTTCACATGCTCTTCAGGCCTCAGAGGGTACCTGCGTGCATGCGTGTGTGCATGTGTGCGAGTGGGTGTGCACACTCACACTCACATAGACACCAATTAGTTATATATTTCTCATTTTAACCATGCCAAAGCAAAACCAAAACCGAGCAGTATAAATACGTTAGTCCCTGACTCAGAGCTTCGCTCATGGTCTTCTGGGTTCCAAAAGTCTTGGGACTTCACCTTGCTGAATCTGCCACCTGCAGCACCCACAGCTTGCCTTCCAAGGTCAGGCCAGTTCCCCTCCACACCTTCTGCCATCCTTGGTGGGCACCCCATGGTCCTGGCATCTCCAGTGTGCTGGGGTCTCTACTGACTGCACCTTCATGAATGAATTCCTTTTCCCTCTTTGGGGACCAAGTGTCAGCTTCTTCCCATGACCCCTTCAATCCTGCGGTTTTCACTGCTACTGAGGCTGCACCTTCATGAGCGGCATCTCCTGGCTTCTCACTGTGCCAACCCTCAGCTGCTCTCCGTGATCTCTTCAGCTCCTCAGCTCTCATACTGCTAAAACCAGCACCACATGGAAGACTCTTGCACATAACCAGCTGCCAGCATTGGATGCAGCTTTGCCTCCCTCTGGACTGCAGCTTCTGTCTGCTGACCCCAAGGATGTATTTCCAGAAGACTTTATTTCATGCTGGTCTCCTCTGAATCACATCTGAATTTTCAGCCTCACACAGTTAGGCACAACAGGTTCTTAATTCACATGAATGATACTGATAGAATCTTTGAGAAACTCTCAAATTTCAAGTAAGGCCTCCACTGCCTGCACTGATCTCAGTAGTCTCACCTCCCAAACTCTTACAGAAGATCAGGGTAAGCTCTGAGTACTCGGTGGTTTTGCTAGTGCAGAGCTCAAACATTTCCACAATCTTCCCAACTGTGTTTAGATGTGTCACAGCCATAGTCTACTTTCTGGTGCCAATTTCTACTCTAGTTTACTCTCTATTGCTGTGATAAAATACTGAGCAAAGGCAATCTGGGAGGCAATCAACTTACCACCCTCAGGTCCCACCCCATCACAAGGGAAATCAGGGCAGGAACCTGGAGGCAGGAACTGAAGCAGAGGCTAAGAAGAAGGGCCGCTTACTGCTTGCTTTATACGGCTTGCTCAGTGTGTTTCTCATACAATCCAGGTGTCCAAGGATTGTCCACCCACAGCAGACTGTCCCTCCCACATCAATAATCAATCAAGAAAATGCTCCCAAAACATACCCATAGGCCAATAGGTTTAATTAATTCCACAGTGGAAATTTGCTCTTCCCAGATGTCTCTAGCTCGTGTAAGGCCAACATTAAAAACTAACCACCACATCGTGCAACTAATTAGAGCGAATATTAAACACCTGCTTGCTACCTTGCAGTTCTGAAGGCAGGAGGCCTGCCATGCTTGTCAAGGAAAGGCTATGCAAATGGTATTGCACAATCATTTCCTGGCCTCCCCGGCCTGAATAATCACACAAAACTCTATTAATTACAACGCTGTTTGGCCAATGGCTCAGGTATATTTCTAGCTAGCTCTTACTTCTTCAATTAACCCATTTCTGTTAATCTATGTATCACTCTACTGGCAAGGTTTCAGCACCTTTCTCCTTCTGCAGCTACACGGTGTCTACCTGACTCTGCCTTCTATCTCCCTACATTCAGCTTAGTGTTCCCTGCCTAGCTCTATTGAGCCCTGCCACAGGTGAAAACATCATCCTTATTAACCAAGGGTAATAAAACATATTCACAGCATACAGAGGGGAATCCTACACTAGCAGAAAAAGAGCACCATGGATGCTTTTTGTCTGTACTTATACTACATGAAACCATGTCCAGAGTGGGCCGGTATCTTAAAGGCTGTTAGCTGAAGGAGTTCTCACAGCAAGGCTATCCCAGGAGGAACTGGGTAAATGCTAGCAGCTTCAGCTCAGCAGGCTTTGCAGGATTGAGGTTCCATCTCCTCCCTGGATGTTAGCTGAGGGCCTCCATTCCCAGTACACACCCATCAACAGCTGTGGCATGGCTCTTTCCCCATCCTGGAAGCTCGGTGCAGTCCAGAGCAATCTCCTCTTCAAAAGGCTCCCAGTCTGCACCCATTCAAGCCATGCCCCTTTAAAGGACTCAAAGTCAACTGATCCTGAATTTAATTACATCCACAAAATCTGTTTTGCCATGCAATATGGCATAGCCACAGCTGTGCTGTCTCACCCGATTCTGTCCCGGAGAATAGGGCAGAAAATCACAGGGAACCATAGCAAAATTTTATGTATCACATTATAAAGACAGCTATCCTCTAGTCCCAAATTATCTAGTCTTGTTTTATTCATTTGGGCTTCCTGAACAGATATCTTTTATGTCAGCTTAAATATCAGGCAGTTCTAGAAGTCAGAGGTCAAAGTGTTGGTCAAGTCAGTTCCTTCTAAAAACATTCTTCTTGTTATACAAACAGATAGTATTTTTTATCCCCTATACTGTAGTTTCTGTGGCAGAGAGACCATCTCTCTAATCTCCTGTCATGAAAGTGTTGAGCCATCCGTTCTGTTGAGTTCTGTAGCTTTGCCTCCAAAATATGAGTGAAACAAGAAGTCCTCTTATATTTCAAACATAAACAAGACTGTTCAGCAATACTTTTCTAAGCATACAAAATCAAAGCCAAATAAAAATATTCCAGACACAAACATCAATGAGAAAAAAGACAAATTTAGACCATACAGATATGGATAACTTCAGAGGAGCTGTAAGTTAGAACCACCCACACGCACTATGCTGCTCTTAATTTAAATTTTATTAAAGATAAATATCATTATTAACAAATCAAAAATATATATATATACCCGCTCCCCAAACAGAGTATCAGTCTGTAGAACCTCCTCAGTGTATAGGCAAATGACTATTTCAAACAGCATTCAGTGACATAGACATTTAAATTTTATCCTTTAGGAAATTAGATTTGACCACAAAGTGTCCTTAGTTTCAGATGAGTGGCTTCCAGTCACAGGGGGTATTTTTTGTCTTCTTAGACTGGGTGAAATGAGTCCACTCTCCCCCTCTGATATTGCCTGAAGCAGAATGTAAGAAGGGTATTACACCTCTCTGGACTCACCTCTGTTTGGAACAGAGGGAGAGCACTGGCGATGACATCCAGGAGCATTGTGGTGTGAGAAGGGTCTGAGACCCCGTGTGGGTAACGCCCTGAGCATCTGTTTTAGCTTCATTTCTGTTACTGTGATAGACACCCTGACTAAAAGCAGCTCCAGGAATACGGGTTTCATCGGATCACAATGCCAGGTGTAGTCTGTTCTTGCAGGGAAGTCAAGGCAGGAACTTAAAGCAGTGGGGCACATCCATGGTCCCAACAGAGACAGGAAAACACATGGATCCTTGTTTGCCCTCAGCTGGCTTCCTCCTCTCATACTGCTCAAGACACCCTGCCTAGGGAACAGTGTCACCCACAGTGGGCTGCGTCTTCCTACATCAATGGATCCTAGAGAGATATTTCTCATTAAAACCCTCTGTGGTGTGATTGTAGGTTGTGTCAAGATAACAGTCATAACCTCCCAACACAGCATTCGAACTGCAGGCATCAGGAGCTGATCCCCATGACCCCTGCATGGAGGTAGTAGATCACATGATGCAAAACACTCACCAGGGGCTGGGGAGAGTTTGTACGCAGTCATGGGCTTCATCCCCAATACCAAAACTCCAAAATGATACCACACATACTCACACACAAATGACATTTATCCATAGAATTCATTTTTCTTCTTGTATTTAAAATGACTATGCCTGGTCATTAGAGAATGCTGCTTTTAATTGATTAAAACCTTTTGCTATTGTTATTAGGCTTCATTCCAATTCGTTCATTTCAGGCTCATACAGCCCGTCTCAACTCTGAGCTTGGGCAGTTTAATCTTCACCTCCAGGAACAATCTAAAGCCATCTTTGAGGATCTGTCTAGTTAGGCTAAAAGTCAGGAGACACATGAGGCAAGCACCCAATAAATTTTCCTATCAAATTCTCAGCCAAATGAAAGTACCACGCAAATCCTAGAGGTGTGATTGAGAGTTTACTTCTAATTCATCTGTGCCAGTGTTCACACACAGGGTTTGCATCATGAAGAGCCAGAGAAACAAAAATAAGCCAAGAGCCTGGGAGGTCAGTGTTTGCAGGAGCCTTTCCAAAGATTATTTTTGTTTGCATTTCATTTATTTATGTGTGTGCATGCACATGTGGGCAGGCCCACCATGGGCTTGTGAAGCTCAATTGTCTCAAGGACTGAGTTGCATTTGCTAGAGTAATTTGGCAGCAAATACCTTAACCCACTGAACCATCTTACCCAGGCCAGAAGAGACTCCCAGGCTAGCACCCTCACAGAATGCAGCAGCTTGGCTGGCATCAGACACCTCCTTTACGAAGTCCTCTCAGGACCTGTGGATAATTACAAGACTCTCCTCCCCCACTATACCAAGCCAAAGTTGCAGCCAGAGAGGAGGAAGCATCCTGTCTACCAGGAGACCCAGCCTAGAGAAGGCTCAGATGCCTTCTAATGTGATGAATACAGGAAATTAGTTTTTAATTTTAAAACCATGGTATGAGAAAGCAAAGCTTCCAAAAGGAGGGATGGAAAAGATCTAAGCAACATCTCATCTATTTTTTAAGTGATGCCCAGCAGCTACCATATTAAATTCAGCTTGTGAATTATTCAGTCTGCCATGAGGCTGCAGACTCAGTGGGGAAACCAGACGATGTCTGAAGCCTGGCTTTGTTCTTTCAAGACAGCATCCTGAGGCCAGCGATGGACATTCTAGTGTGAGCACTGGTGCAGCTGTGATGGTAAAAGCTGTGCCCCCTCAGCAGGCTGGTGGGTGTGTTTCACTTCTGCCTGGAGGCTGGAGGTCAAGAACCCCCTGGGTGTGCAACTGTGAGCCACTCCTTCAGCTCATGTCCCCACCATAGCACACCTGGCCTCGTGACAAGCTTGCAGCTCATTGTGCAAGAGAGAGATCAAGGCAACCTCACACTCTAAAGAGAAGATTGGAGGCACTTGCTATGTCTCATCCCAAGTAATAAAAGTAGCCTGGATCCTGCATGTAGACACCTGGATCTTTGTGTGCACATGTGAAATGCATATGATCTCATGATAAAGCTAGTCTAAACGGGAGGTTTGTGAGAATTCCACAGAGGGCCCCAGGGCCACGTGAGTTTCAGGGAGAACCATGAAGAAGTAGACCAACACTCTAGCCAACACCTAGGACAGAGGTGGCATTGTGCAGGCAAAGAGAGATGCTGGTGACTCCTTGGGTAGCACCAGCCCCAGGCTTCTGAGAGAAGTAATCATGCAGGAAGGTTGTTAATGCTGTGCCAATGGAGAAGGCTGAGGGCTGGGCTTCCACTGCATCTCAGACCCTGGGAGAGTCACCGAGTCACCTCAGTTGCTTCTGCTGACAACCAGTTTGGTTGTAAGAATGAAGTGCAGCTACCTGCAAAGAATGTCTGCATCTTCAATGCAAGAGCAACTCTGGGCCCAGGTAATCACACCTGCTTATGCTTCCATGCACTGTGCATAGATCAAGAGAACCTGTGCCTGACCATCTTCTCTGCACTGAGCTCACTCAGATCTGCTGTCTGGAGACCTTCACCTTGACCTTGCATGTGATGTGTGTGAATGCAGTGAGCAAACATGGCTAAAGAAGGAATGAATAGAGGGAAGGTCTGATGCAGAGCAGCTGGTGCCAGGTCCTGATGCCAGCTCTTCCATCATCTAGATGGCAAAGCCACCATATTGTTACAAGCCTTGGCTTCCCTCTCTGTCAAGAGAAGATCTGGTTTTGTTTGGATGGTGTATGTAGTCCCTAGTACACACGCAGGAACAATCACCCTTACTCTTTCCCCAGCTCAGATTTTCACATATTCTGAACTAAGGGTCTAGAACCCAGTGCTGTAGGATTTTGATGAATGTCACAAAGAGAATAATTTTCCCCCAAGAGTTATGGGAGAGACTCAGAGGAGTGACAGGAACAAGTATGGAAATGAGGCCCTGAAGGTAGATTCCAGCCTCCTCCAACTGGAGGAGTAATGGTTCTAACTTGAGTAAGTTTTCCTGTGTTCAGAGAGCATATTGCAACGTTACAGTCACACAGTCACATGAAGCTTTGGCTCCAAGCACACATTAAAATCTAGTAAAGTAAAAATCAGGGGGAAACAATAATTCCCATGATACAGAGCAAGACTATATATATGTCTGGTGACAGTGGCTGAATTGCCATGAGCCCCTGTTTTTACCCAGTTTTGAAAACCATCAAGGTTAAATTCCAAACCAAAACACTCAGCAGATCTCTGACCATGTGATAATCCAGTGTGAAGACCTGGGGTCAGAAAGATCACAGATGCAGGGAGAGCCCTTCCACTAGGCCTATCTCCATGCTCTGCATCCCAGAAGCTTGGACCAGTTCAGGTTCCAGCAGAGTTCTTGGACACCCATACAGATCACGCCTGTGCCTGGCTGCCCCTGAGTTTGAGATCTGAAGGGTTTTTAGTGCTGCAGCTGGTCACCACCATCAATACATCAAGACATCCTCAACAGAGACAAGGTGTCTCAAAAGGCTCAGAGGAGATGTCACCCTTGTTAGGATTTCAGCAGTGTTATAAGCCTATACAGAGACCCAGCTATGGTTTCTCAGCCTGATTTATATGGTCATATAACCCAGTTTCCTTCTAGCATGGAGGTGAGCTAGTGTCTGCAGACATGCATGTCTCATGTTGAAGATGCATTGGGTACCCAGTAGCTAACAGACTCAGTGCCTAGCTACATCATTCAAGTGAGGGGAGAGGACTGAGAAAGCTGGTTCATCCCAGACTGAGCATTTAAAAATAGAAGGTTTGGGAAGTGAGGGGCAGGGGACTCAGGAAAGAAACTAAATGATGCTAGTTAACTTTAAGACACCCCAATCCTAAGCTTCTTCTACTACCACCCTCTCCCAAAGAACGGGACACTCAGTGGGAGGCCACCAACTTAATTCTAATAGCACTTGACTTTCAATCCTGTTCTGTCTGCAGACTGGGAGTCTTTGGACAAATAAGTGGCCATGGCTCCTGGTTCCTAACCTGTAAAATGGGAATGATCACATCCACAGCTTCATATGTATATTGGACCCTGAAATGAGCAGATGAGGGCATGTCTCAAACCTTGAGAACATAGTGCAAAAGCCTGAAAGTCAAGATCTGTTGTTGCTCTGGGTGCCAAGTGGGAACAAGTCTTGACTCTGTTTGTGTGTACATCCACTCTAGTGTATGCAGGGCATTGAGAACAGAACTCTTGCCTTCCTCCTCCTTCTCTCTCTACCCCTGACATTTCCCAGCAAGGCCACCCCAGACCTTCCCAAAGTATCACCAAAGGTTATTAGAAGTTTGTGCCACAGGCTCCCCTCAGACATCAGAGCAATTCTGTTCCTGAGAGTTCTCCAGTATCTGCCAGTAAGTGAGTAAGTCCTGGGGTGTCACGTAGTGGCAGGTCACAATTTTCTGAAAGCGGCACACAGAGAAGCGTAAGCCACCTGGGAAAAAGGTCTGCTTGGTGTGGAGTTCCTCAGGCCGGATCTTCAGCTTGGCCAGGCAGAGCCCAACAAACACATCCTCCAGCTTGAGGAATGGAACACTCTCTGAGACATCGTATACTTGGCTGGCCACATCACTAGAAAAGATGTAACCTGTTCCAGAACAAAAAGGTGGGTACGTGTCCCAGGGATATTCAAATTTACTCACAAACCACTTGTTTAAGTTATGCCTGAAGGGCGGTTGATGGTACCTTATGTGGCCCGTGAAGAACCTGGAGGTTTTGTTTTTCTTCAGCAGCAGTTCAGTCAGATAACCAACATTCACAAACATGTCTGAGTCTGTTTTCATCACAAAAGCTGCCTGTGGACAAAAGTGGTGGACCCATTCCATGCCCATCATTGTCTTCAGGGTCAAGTTGTAATAGTCATCCTTGAAATCCTTCTGGATGATGTCACGGTGCTGCTTGCCCTCCTGGGCTGTGGCATTCATCTCATCGGTGCTGTCTGTGGCCCCCAGGAGGAAGAGGGTCTTCACATTTTTCCCATGAATCTCTGCCTCTCTACCCCATGTCTTGCGGATGGCCATGCGAGCTGCCAGCTGCTTGTGGGATGAAGTTACCAGCAGCACAAGGAAAGGTGGCTTCTGCTTGCAGTCTATATCTGGAAGCTGGAGAAACTGCCCGTGACCTTTCTTGAGAACAAATGGTGGTTCCTCAAAAAGTTCCGTGCTGAAGTATAAGCAAAGAGCACCCATTGTCAGAATGAAAGCATAAACCAGCCTCATCTTCATGAAGTCCATCTGAAAGAACAAAGACAATCTGCCAGGTCTCCAAAGCGAGAGTGTGGAGGAACATATACCCAAACTCAAGGAGATCAGAGGGCTTTGTTCTGGTGTTCCAAAGCTAGCACCAGAGCCAGAATTTATAGTTTATAAGGACCTAACAAAGAAGTATTTGAAAGTTCATAACACAGGGCTCAGTAGTTAGGAGCACTTCCTGCATTCAACCACCTATATATGCTGTTCCAGTGGATCTGATGCCCTCTTCTGGCCTCTGTGGGCACTGCACACAAGTGGTACACAGATAAGCATACAGGCAAAATTCCCTAATATATAAACCAAAAACTTTTAAATTTTACCCAAAGTGTATCAAAACAAAAGAAAAATAGATGTTTAAGGAAATGGAACTGTGAATCTGTGTAAACAGTACACATTATATATGCATACCAAACCCCACATATACACAATTTAAAAATGAGCTTTTAAAAATATGAGTATGTTGTGTTCCCAGAAACCACATGGTGGCTCACAGCCATCTCTAATGAGATCTGATGCCCCCCTCTGGCAGTCAGGCACACATGTAGAACACCCATACATAACATATAAAAAAGAAAAAGAAAGAAAACTCTGTAATCTTTCAACACACAGAAATCAAGGCCATTCCTCTACAGTGAAGCACACAGAACAGCCTGCCATGCTGTTCTCCAGTGCCACACTGACAGCCTTGGGATTCTAGATGCTGGTCCCAGCTCTGGGAACTGCCAGCACTTCACTGATGAGGTATTCAGACTATTGTCTTTCAGTATATGGGACCAAATCTCCCAAGAGATTTCAGCTCTGACCTCTGGTGAATCCATGACAAAAAAAAATGTTATAATGCAGCTAGACAGCCTGTAGGTCTGACAGCTGTGCATTCAGGGTGGAAACACAGGACTGGTCACAGACTTCTCGTGCTAAAAAAGCAACTCTTCACACTATGAGTTCCTGACAACTCATGTGTCTGAACTCTTGGCCTGCAGCTGACGGTGCTGTTGGGAAAGGTTATAGAACCCTTTATGAGATGGGGCTGAGAGAAGTGAGACCTGGGGGATGAGTGTTAAGTTTATGGCACCGTCTACTTCATGTCCTCTCTCTGCCTCCTGATCCACAAGTTATGAGCAATAACCTCACACCCTGCTACCACAGCTACAAACTGCTCCCAGTGGTGTGTATGTATTTCTGCCACAAAGGAGAATAACCTCAAATCAAGCTCCAAAGTAAATGTCCCCACCCCATAAATCATTTCTCTTTAGGTATTTGTCATAGCAACAAGAAAAGTAATGGACACAAAAGCATCTCCATTCGCCAATCCACATCATAGAGAAGTCTGATCTCTGAAATATACAAAGAATTCAAGAAATTGGTCATCAAAAGAACACATAATCCAATAAATAATGAAGTATAGACCTAAACAGAGAGCTCTCGACAGAGGAATCTAAAATGGCTGAAAGACACTTAAGGAAATGTTCAACATCCTTAGTCATCAGAGAAATGCAAATGAAAACAATTCTGAGATTCCATCTCACACCTGTAAGAATGGCCCATATGAAAAACACTGATGACAACTTATGCTGGACAGGATGTGGGGTAAAGGAAACACTCCTCTATTGCTGGTGTTCAGACACTTTGGAGATCAGTAGGGCGGTTTCTCAGAAAACTGGGAATCATTCTACCTCAAGACCCAGCAATATTACTCTTTGGCATATATAAAAAGATTCTCACTCATACCACAAAGACATTCTCTCATTATTACAAACATTATTTGTAATAGTCAGAACCTAGAAACAACCTAGGTGACCCTTAATCAAAGAATGGATTTTTAAAAAAATGTGGTACATTTAAACAATGGAGTACTACTTAGTAGTAAAAAACAATGACATCTTGGAATTTTCATGCAAATGGATGGAACTAGAAAAAAAACATCCAGAATGAGGTAACCCAAACCCAGAAAGACAAACATGGTATGTTCTCACTCATAAGTGGATATTAGACATAAAGCAAAGGATAAACAGATTACATTCCATGTCTCCAGAGAAGCTATGTAACAAGAAAAACCCTAAGAGAGACATACATGGATCTGCCTGGAAAGGGGAATGAAACAAGATCTCCTGAGAAAGTTGGGTGGGTGGAGAGAAAGGAGGTCAGAAGGAGAGGGGGAGGGGAGAAGAAAAGGGAGGAGGAGAACATGAGGAAATAGAATGGCTGAGATGGGAGAAGGACAGAGAAGGAGATCAAGGAAAGAGATATCTTGATTGAAGGAGCAATTATGGTGCTAGCAGGAAACCTGGCACTAGGAAAATTCTCAGGAATTTATAAGAATGACCTCAGCTAAGACTCTAAGCAATAGTGGAAAGGGTGTCTGAACTGGTATTCCTCTGTAATCCGATTGATGACTACCTTAATTGTCATCATAGAACTTTTATTTAGCAACTGATGGAAGAATATAAAGAGATCCACAGCTAAGCACTGGGCTGAGCTCCCCGAGACCAAAGAGAGGGAGGAGCGATAATATGAGCAAAAGAGTTGTGACTATAATTAGGAATACCCCCAGAAACAGCTAACCTGAGCTAGTGAGAGATCACTGACTCTGGACTGACAGCGGGGGAACCTACATAGGATCAAATTGGGCTCTCTGAATGTGGGTGACAGTTTGTGTGGCTTGGGCAGTCTCTGGGGCCACTGTCAGTGGACTATGGTTTATCCCTAGTGCTTGAGCTGGTGTGTTGGACCCCATTCTTTTTGGAGGGATTCTTTGTTCAGCCTAGATATGAAACAGGGCCTTGTTCCTGCCTCAAAGGATGCGCCAGACTTTGTTGTCTCCATTTGTGAAGCCTCACTCTCTCTGAGGAGTGGGTGGGGGGTGGGAAAAAGGGAAGGTGGGGAGAATGGGAGGGGGGAGTGGGAACTGGGTATTTAAATGAGAAAAGATTGTTTTAAAACAATTTGTTAATAATTTAATAAAAATGACTCTCATAGGTTCATATATTTGAATGCTTGATCATTAGGGCTAGTACTACCTGAGTGATTAGGAGGTGTGGCCATGTTGGAGTAGGTATGGCCCTGTTGGAGGAAGTGTGTCTAAGGGTGGGCTTTGGGGATCTACCTGTTGTAGATCTGGATGTAGAACTCTCAGTGACCATGTCTGTCTGGGTGCTGCCATGCCCCTTGCCATGAGGATAATGGACTAAGCCTCTGAAACTGTAAGCAAGCACCAATTAAATGTTTCCTTTTGTAAGGGTTGCTGTGGTAATGGTACCACTTCATAGCAATAGAACACTGACTAAGACAACTATTCATTAGGAAATGAAACAAAACTCATAATGAAACACCATGAGTGTAATCAGGACACATGCAGCAACAACAAGCCCTGCCAAGAATGAGAAGAATTGGAAGTTTCAAACCTTCTAGTAGGTGTGTGTTATAAGGAATACTTAGAAGTCATTGAGAAGTAATGGTTCACCATCGATGGGGAAAATAAGATATTCCATGACAAAAAGATTTTTACACAAGATGTATCCAAGAATCCAGCCTTACAGAAAGTACTAGAAGGAAAACCACAACCCAAAGGAGCTAACAACACCCACAAAAAACACAGACATCTGATAACCCTCTACCAACACAACCCAAAGAAGGGAAATACACAAACACTACCACCAAAAATAGCCAGAGTTAATGACCACTGGTCATTAATATCACTTAATATCAATGAACTCAATTCACCTATTAAAAGGCACAGGTTAAGAGAATGGATACAAAAACAGGATCCAGCACTCTTCTGTTTACAAGAAACACACCTCAACCTCAAAGACAGTCACTACCTCAGGGTAAAGTGCTGGGAAAAGGTTTTCCAATCAAATGGACCTAAGACAAGCAGATGTGCTTATCCTAATATCTAACAAAATTGATTTCAAACTAAAATCAATCAGAAGAGATGGATAAGGACACTTTATACTCATAACAGGAACAATTCATCAAGATGAAGTCTCAATCCTGAATATCTATGCCCCTAATATAAGAGCACCTACATATGTAAAAGAAACATTACTAAAACTTAAATCGCACATCAAACCCCACACACTAATAGTAGGAGATTTCAATCCTTCTCTCTCATCAATGGACAGTTCAAAAAGACAGAAACTTAACAGAGAAATAAGAGAACTAACAGCTGCAATGAAACAAATGGATTTAACAGACATCTATAGAACATTCCACCCAAACAGAAAAGACCTTCTCGAAAATTGATCACATACTTAGCATCAAAGCAAACAGCCACAGATACAAAAAAAAAAAAAAAATCGAGTAACTACCTGTGGCTTACCAGATCACCATGGAGTAAAGTTAGAATTTAACAACAATACTACCTATAGAAAGCCTACAAACTCATGGAAATTGAACAGTCAACTACTGAAGCACCCATAGAACAAGGAAGAAATAAAGAAAGAAATTAAAGTCTTCCTTGAATTCAACGTAAATGAAAGCACAACATATCCAAACCTATGAGACACTATGAAAGCAGTGCTAAAAGGAATGTTCATAGCACTAAGTGCTCACAGAAAGAGAATGCACAAAGCTCACATTAGTGACTTAATATCAACACCTGAAAACTCTAGAAAAAAAAAAGAAGTAGACTCACCCAGGAGGAGTAGAAGACTGGAAATAATCAAACTGAGGGCTGAAATGAACAAAATAGAAACACAGAAAGCGATAAAAAGAATCAATGAAACAAAGAGCTGTTCTTTGAGGAAATCAACAAGATTGGCAAATCCTTATCCAAACTAATCAAAAGGCAGAGAGAGAACAGCCAAATGAACAAAATCAGAAATGAAAAGGGGGACATAACAACAGACACTGAGGAAATTCAGAGAATCATTAGGTCTTACTACAAAAACCTGTACTCCACGAAATTGGAAAATGTAAAAGAAATGAACAATTTTTTAGATAGATAGCATATACCAAAATTAAATCAAGACCAGGTGAGCAAT